CAGCGCAGAACCTGTAAAGTTAAACAAAGCCCCGCGGCGCGCGGAAACCACTCTCTGCTGCCTGCCCCGCTGAGAATTAGAAAAATTAAATCTTTTCTTGCGCGCTCTTACGTTTAAGACATTGAACGCAAAAGCCTGGGCAACTTGTTTCACACTCTCAGGTCTCCTCTCCCTCCCTCACGTCGGGCCTTCCACGTGGAAGTGCCCTCACCTCCCTCTCTCACCCCGCAGTGGGCTGCGCTCAGGCCACTGGTGCCCTACCCCTGCACTACCTCTTGGCGAGCCTCTTGGTCCGGCCAGGGAAAGGTTGCGTGACCTGCTCGACAGTCCGGCGGGCGACCGCGGCTAGTGCTGAGAGGAGCTGCAGGCACTGCTAGCGCTTGGCTCTGCCGCTCAGATTCCCCCACTCTCTGGAAAGCCTGCCGCGGTGGGGAGGGGGCTGATTCATAGCAATTTTCTACCCAGCAGCCAGCTCAGTGCCTTACGCATACCTGTTTGCTGAATTCCCTGGGCCACTCCCACTGGTTCTCAATGTACCCCACAATCTTCTCTCCCCTATTCAAAGCAGAGCTTTCCTTCAAGATTCAGCCAAAGGGTCCCTTCCTTCTGAGTGCTCTGAATCTCCCCTCTCCTGGCCATACCACACAACCTCAAGGTACAAGTGAAGGAAGAGCAGAAATGGAGGTTCAGATGGTTAAGAAACTTACCCAAGGACACAGCTAATTAGTGGCAGAGCCAAGATGAAGGTCCTGTACTCCTGGATCCCAGCTCAGCACACAATTTGCCACAGCACTTTGCTTCCCTTCTGCCTTGACTGGTGTGGCATTTGAGGGCAGGGGACATTCTTTGTTGGCCCTTTGCACACAAGGACTGCACATGGAATAGTCCTTTCCCCTCCTTGCCTCACTCTTTCTGCTCTTTGTTTCCCCTTCTTGTCTAGGGCCTCTGGTCTTCCTGTCTAGGGCCTCTGGTCTTCCAAACTCAGAGATAAAAAGGTCATTTTGTTCAAAGTTCAATGATCAGCAAGAACAAAACAGAAGCTGACTTCACAAAGTCCTCCATCGACCTGGATGGCAATGGTCTCCCCCCCCTACCCCCTCTACTATATTCTTAATTTTTCATGTACTGTCTTCTTTGCATATCTAGGCACTTGGAGAAGTCAGAAGGCCATCCACACCTGCCCAAACCATCTTACCTTTTAATACCTCTTCCAAAAATACTCTCTTCTAAACTGCAGCCCACCAATCATATATACAAGTCAACGTTCAACCAAGCAAAAATATATAACTTACAAGAGCTAACTATTCTTATCTGATGCAACAAGGGCAATATGGGGTTAGAAACAAAAGATCTTCAGTGGGAGAATTTCAAGTACACAGTTACACCCCCCCAGTTGAGTTCTCTCCTGTCTTGGGCCAAGTAAATGCACAAGGGACAGTGTTGTCAACAAACAGGGACAGAAGTGGAGAAGAGAGAGTCAAGAATATAAGAGACTATGGGTGAGCCCAGCAAGAGGGAAAAATGGGGAAGTAGAGCCTTGGCAAAGGAGAGAAGGAAGAAAAAGGAAGGGAAAGGATAGAGTACAGCTGCTGGCTCCAAGTATAGCTGCTGTGGAAGCCCAGGCAGACATGGACTTACTCTCCAAAAGCTCAGAGATATGGCTCTTAGGTGCCTGGATTGGAAATGAGATCCAGAAGCCGTGTCAAGTTTCACTTATCCTCTAGTAAAGAGAGAGAGTGTCTGGCTCTAAGCAGCACTGGTGGCACTCTTTTCAATTTAAGTGCCACCTCATCATCATTGGTACCACAATGAGGCCCTTGCCCTCCCCTGCTCCCCCAGAATTAAATAAATCTTACCCAACACAGGAGTACAATTTGAATACTCAGGACAATTTGCCCTTTCACTGAAGGAGAGGAGAGGAGAGGATCTCTCCCTCTCCTCCTGCTGTAAGTGGACTGGGTGCTGCCCCTTTATACATTCTAGAACACCAGATCAGTAGAGGTGGAGAAAGGGAGGGAGCAGCAATTTGAGGCTGGTCCAATTTGTCCCTGGCATCCCCTCTTTCTCTCTCTGTCTCTCTCTCTCTCCCTCTGTCTCTCTCTCTCCCTCCATCTCTCTCTCTCTTCTCTCTCTGCAGCCCCTCCCTCTGGCCCTGGAAGCTCTGCTCCCCTTCCTCACTGCAGCATCCTGCAACCAGCACCCTCCACTGTGATAAAACACAAAACATTGGAGTACATCTTTCTGGTGATGTTTGCTTTTCAATGTGAGATTTTAGACCTATATGCCAGGGAAAATCTTGAATTGAGGTGGGAGAGGGTGTCGCCGGAGAGGAAAAGAAAACCCACCCAGGTAGCTGGCAACATGGGTTGGTATTGGGGGCAGCTGGGAGACATGATTTGAACCCGAGTACATAGGGATCCAATTTAAGCAGAGAACTGGCATACTAGAAGAGGCTTGGATTACAGGGATTGTCTGGTAACATGCATACACAAAGACCGCATGATATAGAGAGAAGGTAGATAACTAAATATCACTCAGCCTCAATTTTCTCAACTGCGAAATAGAGAAATTAGTGCTCCAATACTACCGTGGAGAAGAATGTGTGAAATGACATAGGTAAAGTACCTAGCACTTACCTTGCCACTGAAGCCCAGAGAGGGGAAAATAACTTGCCCAAGGTCACATAGTAAGTAGCAGAGTCAGGATTGGAACCCAAGTCTTCCAAACATTCCCCTCTCCAGGAGGGTGCCAATGCTATCCTTGGGGACTTGGTTGTGGAACTGGGGAGATAGGTTAGGAGCTGACTTTATGCATATGAATATAGATGTTCTATCACTCAGTCCTAGCCTCAAGGGCTCAGGCTCCTGCCTCATTCCCCCTTCTCATTATCACTCAGGTAATCTCCTCATGCCATCTTGGACTGATTCATTGCCACTTTAGCGCCATCTCTACCACCTAACTGAGGTGGTGACTCACCCTCTAGCTGGCCAGGGCCTCTGCCCTCCAGGAAAGAGGCTTTCTTCTTAATTGCCTGCAGAAGCCTCAGCCGCAGTGAAGCAATGCTCTTCCAGGCAGGCTTAGAGGTGGAGGGCTTTGAGGAGGAATGGAATAACTCTTTATCCAAAGCCACTGCCCTCCATCCCTGCAGTGCCTAGGGTCCTCTCTTTAGGTTCCTTGTGATAACTCCTCATGTACCCTCGAGTCTCAATGTTTCCTAGGGATTTCAACCAGGACATCGCTTGCTGCCTGTATAGAGCTTGCACTGTGTGTCTGGCACCGTGCTAGATGGTGGCGAGACATAAGTTAACAGGAGACATTCCTGGCACCCAAGGAGTGCTCACAAGAAGTTTAAAAATATTAATGTGGCATCTTGGTAAGAAGGAAAAGAATACAAGTGGAGGTGAGTTAGGAAGTCCTTGTAAGGAGGGGAGGTGATGGGCAGAAGAACCTCACCACAACTCCAAGGACTGGAGGTGTGACCTGGATTCTCTTGTGGCCAGTGAATGGCATCACCAAATCATTGGTGCAGGCATTTCCCTTAAACACAGCATATTGCAAGTTAACTGAACTCCTTCCCATCCTCTGTGTTTCTGGCCTGGCTTGGGGGCATCAGCTGGTGGCCATGTCCCCCCTCCCAGACTCTAATCCCCTTTCTTTTAAACTCCCATATCTTTATATTTTTGAAGAGGGTGGGAGAAAGAGGGAGGGAATTGACATCCTCTGTATATTAACTGGAAGAAGTATTTCACATGTGTCACTTACTCTAAGCCTCACAACTACTCCACGACCTAAGCCAGCGACTTGCCACGTTAGTCAGCTAAGAAGTGGCAGAGCTGGGATTCGAACCTATAAAGAACTCTGAAGCCTGGGTATTTCTGCATGACACTTTACATAATGCGCCACGGAGTAGTGGGAGGGAGAGGTCCATCTCCCTTTCCCTTGCTGTCCATCTCCACAGAAAAGAAGCAAGGGGAGGACAGGAGCCAGAACGTCATCTGGCCGCGGAGCATTCCGGAGTGACCCCCGCCGCCACCACTCACATAGTCCGCTTATGGAGGGAGGGCACCTCAGAGATTCTCAAGGGGGCTGTGCCGCTAGAACCAGAAGTGCAAAGCACCTTTAGCGATTCTATCGCCCCCTGCCGCCGGTGGCGCCCAGTCCGAAGCTGCTGTTCTCAGGAGGGCTAATAGGCTAAGAAAAGAGCTCACCGACTGACTGCCTGCCCAACAGCTGTCACGAGCCAGTGCTAGGCTGCAGACAGCCTTGCCAAATGTGGTGACATAGGCGGGAGGGGGGAACATTTAGAGCGCCCTACTATGTGTCCAGCGCGGGGTCAGGGATTTCTAATAGCCATTGCCCTTTACGTAGAAAATGTGATGCTTTGAGAAAGAGTGAGCTCTCCATTAAGAAAAGTCTTCAAGCTAGATTAGAACAGGTTTCGCAAAAAGCTTGTCTGCCAGTCTTAACTCCTTACTTCTTGAAACCAATAAAGCTCTTCACCCTTAACAGTGGCCAGTTCTCTCCAGTGGGGCGTGGGGTGGGGGTGCGGGTGTGGGCGGGGGAGAGAAGCACGTGTCCTGGCTGAGGGTGGGGGTACGGAGGGGGGCAGAGGTCAAGGCAGTGAAAAGGCCAGGGGGAGGGTGCCGGGAGGAGGAGCCTCCGGCGGGGTCGACGGTGCGCTGAGTCAGGGTCCCCGCTGAGCCCTCGCGCCCGCTCGCTGATTCCCTAGACCTTCTCGTTTTCCTGGGTTCTGCCTGGATTTTCCTTGGACCGAACTCACTCACTCCCTTTGCTTGGGAATGGGGAACATGGGGGCAACACCCCAGGTCAAAAGGAAAAGAGCTTCTGTGCCCGCCCCGCCTCGCTCGCTCATCCCCCCTCCTTTTTTCCCCTCCTCTCCTCCTCGCCCCCTTCTCTTCCGCCCAAAGGGAAGGCGGGGGCGGGCTGTGTGTGTATGTATGTATGCATGTAAGCGTGTGTGCGCGCGCGCGGGTGCGGTAGATCTGTGTGTGCGTTCGGTGTGTGGCCGGGTGTGGGGGGGTGTGTGAGCAGAGCACGTTTTAGCTGGAGTGCTTGGTGTGGTGTGTATTTGGTTTGCGCTTTGACATGCAGCATGTGTTTGTGTGTGCACGCTTATAGGTTGTATGTTTTTGCCCGATTATAGTGGGATTATGTGGGTGCGGTTTGAAGGTGGGTGTGTGCTGCTCCTGCCGGGGTTTGTGGTCGTGCTGTGGTGAGTGCATATGTGTGTGCAGTGTGTGGATGTGTGTGTGCCCGTTGAAGCTTGTGTGCATGTGTGTGGTGTGTGTTTATGCTTAGATGCAGTGTGTCAATGTGGGTTTACAGGTGGTGTTTGTTGAAGTGTGTAGTGTGTGAATATGCTCGTGTGCAAGATTTCTCTGTAAGTCAATCTACTTGAGGTGTGTGTTCAAAGGTTTATGCATGTGAGGGTGCGGTGTGTGTCTTTTGGTGTGATGTTCTCATGTGTGTGGTGTGGACGCATGTGGTCAGCTTAAGTGCTTGGATGAACGGGTTGTGTGTGTCTTGAAGGCGGATTGCCGCATAAGTGTATGGGTGCGGTGTGTGAGAGTACAGGGTTGTCTAAAAGAACCCAAGTGACCGTGTGTGTGGTTGGGGGCGGGGACGAGTGGGACGTTGGGCTGGGACTGAGAGGAGAAAGAAGTAGGGGCCGCGACCCCCGCAGAGGTGCCCGCTGGTCTGATCTTCACCGTGGGGGTTCGCCTGCCCGCTCACCTCTGTGGCCAGCTGGGGCAGGGTGTGAATTTACCTGACTGCTTAGAGGAAAGAAGAGGAGGGCGCCGCACGTGATTGGCCAGGTAGGGCGCCTAGGGCGCGATACAGGGGCTGGTGGGAGTAAGCTGGATAGATTCTTGGTCTCTGACCTGACACCCCTCCCCCGCCCAGGAGATCCCAGTTGGTGCCTAGCTGAGCCCAACTATTTGCTCAGGGCCTGGCTGTTTCACACCTTTTTGGCTTTGTGTGGGCAGATCCAGTTGCCTGGAAGCCCTTTCCCCTTGGGCCTTGTGACAAACTCCTACTTATTTTTTTAAAACCTAACTCCAGAATCACAAAACTTTCTCTGCTCTTCTGTGCTTTTCCCTCTCAACTGAGGGCTCGCTTCTTTGAGCCACCACAATTACACCCTTCATACTTCTCATGACATGATCATACATAACTGCAATCATTTATTTCCCTTTTTAAACTCTAAACTGCTGTAGAGAATACCTGGTATGTAGCAAGGATAGTTGTAATAATACTAATAATGTTGCCATTTGTTAAGTACCTACTGTGTACTGGGCATTGTGCTAAGTGTTCTGACATGCATTATCTCCTTGGGTCCTTACAATGATCCTGTAAGGTAGATAGAGCTATAATTATTGCTATTTTTACACTTCACACATCAGGCTCAGAGTAGTTAAGTAATTTCTCCAAGATCACACAGACCCTAGGAGGCAGAGCTGGTATTTGAACTCAGGTCTACCATATTTCCTAAACCTTTATTACATACCAGGTGGCTTTACTGAGAGTCCCCTGATTGCTGCTAGACATTGAAGTTTCTATCAAACATTATCATTTCTCTACAAATCTTTCTTTTGAGTTTACTGACAGCACCAGGAGTAGTCAGCATAATTACTTTCTTTGTCTCCCAGACAGCGGATACTTTCTCCACCTAATTACCTGCTTTGTTGATACTTCAAAATCTGTAATTACTCTAGGCACAAGTGCACCTCACTAGCTCCAGTTCTGGGAGCTCTCCATAGGCTAGTGCTGAAAGAAAGAGTTGAAAATGAACATTTTCCAGCCATAGGGTCAGGGGAATTGGGTATGGGGGGAAATGGAGGTGAAGAATCACGGTGGAGTAAGAGAATCATTTCACAGCTCCCCCAGACCCATTTTTACAACATCACTACCAGAAGTTGGTATATGGCAAATTTCAAATAGAGCAAGCATCTCCATACCAAACTGCATGTAGAAAAACAAGCAGAGCTTCTCCCTCAGAAAAGATTACTGAATGGACCCCATTTTATATTATTCATGAGTCGGGGGGCACTGTACTTTCCTAATGGGGCTCATGCTGCTCTAATGCCTTCCAAGCAGCCTCATCTGAGAAATCCAAATTAAAGCAATACATCGCATTTTGGGGAACACATTTATGGGGGGGCATGATGTCATCCCAGTCACAGCTAAAGGGCCTCTGGAAGCACTAGCTCCCAGGCTCCCAGCTTAGCCCCCAGGGAACCAGCCTAGACTGCTGCAAACAGGTCAGGGGGTGGATAGAGAGGGACAATTCAACAGTGGTGAGTCACTTCGCCACTTTTCAGGGGGGAAAGTGAGAAGCACGATTTAAATTGCCACTGTTATTATTGTGCCCTTTCATCTGGCACAAATGAGCCTGGTGCGTGGATGAAAAACAGTTGGAACATCCATAAAGCTTCCCCCCAGCTGGGCCTGGGTCAGCACCTCATCCTGGGTGGGCACAAAAAGCATTGCCCAAAGTATTCTGTAGCCAGAAAGTCTCCTTTTTTGGGGAAAAGGGGAGCCTAAATACATCAGTCTTACTCAGGCAGGGCATAGACCACCTGAAGCCCTTTGGTTTCATTAAACTGAAATCCATACAAGGTGTTCAGGCAAACTTTGGTATCTCCTAGCATCTGGTCTCAGATGCTCAGCTTTCCTGCTGCTGTGGGGCCAATCTGACACCTCCTCACTCTCCTCTGAATATACCGGCTTCACTTCCACCTCCTCACAGCTGTTCATGTGAGGCCTCTCTTCCTCAGAGGGTCTGCCCCTGCTTCTCAACACCAGCACACACACATACGCACACATGCATAAACACATCACTAGACTACCCATCTAAATCCTGTTGTGTCAGTTCCACTTTGGTTCATAAAGACCATCTGGTTCACTCCAGCTCAGTGTTCCTGCCTGTGAAATGGAGGACAAACTTCAACTCTGAAGAAGCCAAAAGCTCCCGGCTATGGCTGCAAAGATGCAGTCGTGGGCCAGGGACTACTAGCATAATGGAAAGCTATCCTTCTCTGATGCCCCCCACCCATATAAATGGGGCAATAAGAGGGGCTATCAGAACACTTATCAACATGCCACCACCATGGGATAGACACACACACACACACACTCTTTCCTTGGAGCTTAAAATCACCATCATAAGTCTCTCTCTCTCGCTTTGGAGTTCAGGAAAAAGGTTCCCATAACATGAAGATTATATGGGGAATTGCAAAGGTGGAAAATGCTTTAATAACTCCCATTACGGTCCAATATAAACAGAGATTTGCTTGATTTCACCCTAAATATAAGAATCTGGAGGAGCAGGGCACCAAAATGTGGATTTTTGTGGGGAGAGAGATCATGGTTTCCCCATGAGAGTAAAGCCCTTGAAAATCAGGGCTTTTGTTTTTTCCATGTGGGGAGGGCAGAGAAAGACCACAGGCTTCAGAATGAGACAGCTTTGTGTTGGTATCCCAGCTTGAGCACTTACTTGCTGTGTGATCTTGGCAAGGTTACTTCACCTCTCTGAGCCTCAGTTTCCTCAACTGTAAAATGGAGATGTTAACACCTGCCTAGAATTGCTCAGATGACTAAAGGAGGTAAACCATAGAAACCATCAGCCAAGTGCTTAACAGATACAGTAAATGTTTAAGAAAAGGTTAGTTAATTCCCTTCTGCACTTTTTTTCCTTCTCATGTAGCCCAGAGTATCTCAACCATGGTGTTTAGGGAGTGGAGCCAACTGACTAAACTGCCAATTTTCCTCATTACTGGCTTGTCTGACACTCTTGAAATAGTCCCTCTTCTTTTAGGATGATGTTTGATCAGCCTAATGCAGCCCCAGAAGAATTGGACCTTAAGTCCAATTCTCACTCTGCAGTTTCTCCTCGCAGTGTTAATGAGACCAAGGTTTTGGATATAATACTCCACACAGGAAAGTTTCAAACTTTCTGCTCACTGTTCAGACTTCCCTCCACCCCAGTTGCTGATCCAGCCCCAACCCAGTCTCCTAAATATGTGCCATTGTGCCCCAGAAAGTAAGAGCATGATTATTTCCTGGCTAACATTGCCCTATGACTCCTGTTTTGTTTTCTCCTCACTTTCACTCTAGAAATAATAGTGCCTAAGGCCATCCGGTTTGTAGCAGCCACCTACGTTGAGGGGTAGATGGGATGATAGAGAAAGATATGATGATTCTCTGAGATATGCTATGCAGCACCTAAAATACATCTCTGATTAGTTTTTATTCATGTGTTCCCAATTAAAGGAAAATAAATTCTACCCTTTGCCAAAACTAGTGAAGTGGAAGAAGACCCCAGTCTGGACCCCTTCCTCCCTGGTGCTTTTGCCTCCCTCTAGAGACAAAAGCAAGTCATTGCAAGCTAAAGTTGCATTTAAGCAGGAAGTGGTGGAGGAAGATCAAGAAATTGGGGACGGGGGAGGGGTGGTGGTGGTGGATATAATCCCAGGGAGGGATAAAAAGACTACAGAGTAGAGAGGTATTGAGATTCATGGCAGGAAAAGCTCTGAGAGGTCCCCACCTAGATGTTCCCAGACTCTGGAAGGTGCCTTCAACTCCTCCCTCTTCTTCATCCCTTCTATTTATCCTGCATGCTACCCTCACTGACCCCAGATACCTCCTTGCAAGTGAGTCCCTCTGAGGATTTAAGAATTTCGAAAAACTTCTCCAGCTTCTACCCCTGTCTGCTTCTGTGGAAGTCCTGGAGCCTCAGCTTTGAAAAGGGAAATGGGAGGGGTAATAATTAGGTGTCAACATCAGACAGAGAATAGTTAGAGCAGGGGTTCCAGATATGCCCATGCCACTTAGTAAGTTTCCTTAATAAGCAGGGACCTACCGGCTGCTGAGTATTGGGTACCCATCCCGAGGAAGCCGCGTGGTTGCTCAAGAAGTGTATCTGAGACGTGACAGTAGCTGCCAAGGCTCATCAAACATGCCATCTACCTACTTCTGCTGATACATGTGAGAACAAATGATACTGCCAGCAGGAAACAGAAATCGTTTCCTAGTGACTCAGAGCCCCATCTATGAGGACACAGGTGGTGTGTTTGTATTGCATCTTTCAGTTGAAATTCCTTTTCACAGAAAGAAATTTATAGATAATCAAATAAGTCAAAGACCGGCATCTGGGCCCTGGGCAAAGTATCACCAACATCATGTTGACCACCTAGTAAATGTCTGCCACATGTCAGCATAGGAGCTTTGCAAATGTTTCTCTCTTTTAATTTCACTCAAGCTTTGAAGTCAGATCAAAAAGGATTGTAATCCTTGCTCAGCCACTGTGTGACAGTGGGCAAGTTACTAAACTTCTCTGAGCTTTTGTCCTTAAAATAGAGACAATAATACTAACCTCAGACAGTTGTTACGGTTAGAGATAGTTTATGTAGAGTGACTGGTATTTACAAATAGTAAACATTTGGAAAAAATAAAACTTCTTTTGATAACTGACCATAGAAAGCATTTAATATAATGACATCTACAACAGCAGTAATAAGAACTATTATTATTATTTACAACCACAAAATATAGACATTATTATGTCATTTTAAGAGAAGTTAAGTAACTCTCTCACAGCAACCTTAAAAGAGCTGGCCTGGGATTCAAACCAGTTGTTCCTCTTCCCACCCAGAGTTAGTGGAAATTTCATGATCATTGGGAAGATCATGTTTGGCTGGCCTGATCCAGTCATTATATTTAAACTACAATTAGAAGAAAAAATATATTTAAACTATGTATAGTGGGATTCTAGATCACTGTATAGATTATTTGCATATCACAGGTCCTAAATTTG